ACTTTGAAATGTAGTGGAGTGAAAGTTATAAGTACTTCCCCAAGAAATTGCTCAACTAGAGTAAATATACTAGAAAAACACCTAAGTACAGTAATCAAATAAATTTACTTTAGTAAATTTTTCCACCAATGGTTTTAAAACATAATAAACAACATAAGTTACCATAACGATGCAGACAACACACAGCTGTATATTAAAATGTCACCAGATCTTCTGGCTCAAATCTACTCTACATACCCAGAACCAAACATGGAGAAGCAGCTTTTAGTTCTTATGCTTTACAGATCTGGAACAAACTCTAAAAACAACTATAAAAGTGCTGAAACGCTAAGTTGTTTAGAGCAGACCTTAACTGTGCTATCTAAACATCATAAGCTTTCAGTTCAAATGTATTTTCCTTTCATTTTATTAATCTATTTATCTTTTTATTCATCATCTTATTTTATTTATTCATCGCTATTCTCTCTAATTATTTCTATGACCTATAGACAATGGCATGTACTTACTTTTTCATCTCATGCAAAGCGATTTTAAATGTGTTCCTGAAATGCGTTATAAACATGCTTTCCCTAAACTTCTTTACAAACCAAAAAGCTGAAAGGATGAAACGTAAACCATCCATGTTCACTGTGAGACATCTAAATAAATTCCAGGACAATAACTGCATTCAAAAGTCACTTAATCAACAGAGTTCATTTCTAATCAAATGTTAGTGTAATATATCTGTTATGTGAAGGCCTCAAAGATTCATTAAAGAACAAACATTGTAAAGATCCACATCTTAGTTGAAAATCAGTCGATATGACTTTTATTAGCCATGCACTTAACAAATGATGCCAACTCCAGACCTAAATCTAATTGAGAATCAGTAGTTAGACCTAAAATTTGATGTCCGCTGATATTTTCCCTCCAATCTGACGGAATTTGAGGTATTTTTTAAACAAGAACCTTCAAAATATTCAATGTACCAAAGACTTAGAGCTGTAACCACAAGAAAGGCTGTTTCTTCAAAGATTTGAAATACAGAGGCTGGATATTAGTGTGTGCCATGCTTAATATATGTAGAAAGAAAATATTTATAATTTCCTTCCTCTTAATATTCAAGAGATAAGTGCATTTTTGCAACTAGAATTCCTGTAAAATGCTTGAAAATGTTGGCTTTTAACAGAACAAAAATGAATAAATATGTTTTATGTTGTGTTTTCTA